CACACACACACACACTACAGCAGCACCGCAGAATGACTTACTAACTATAAGTGAACTCCCCGCCTCTTTACCACGTGAATTACCACTAAGACGAGTCACCAGCACAGACTTCTGAGAAGCTTTCATTTACAGCATTTGTTTAAATGACGAGTAGAGGGAGAACCCAGACTGAGCATTGAAACCCTGTGATTTTTATACTTATGTGAGATGTGACTGAGGCTTGAGCAGCACAGGCTCAGCTACAGCTACCGGTAACTGAGCTGAGGAACGGTCCTGGTCCCTGGTTAGCTACAGCTTGAAGACACGAAAAGGGGTTGACTCACAAACACATCCACCAACCAGTGGTTTCCATGACAAAGTAATAAAAGTTGTTAATCACAAATCCATAAGACGGCCTTTGATCCATAATTAAAACTATCTGGCATGTGTGAGTCACAGGGACTGAAAGAGTGGCTCAAACTGCGATAATACTCGGTGGGAGTAGTTAGAAGACCAAAGACTTCCCGTAGGAAAAATTGTTTTGGTCTCCTTCCTGCAACCCCACATACATAAAAAACAATAAAAAACCAAACCAAACAGCATCTCAGCAACACACAGCTTCCAAGTAACAATGATAATAGATTTCTTCATTTACGTCATTTCACACTGGTTACAACTTGTCAAATGCGAATATTTGTGGTTTTTTAATAAACTGAACTGCATTCAGTCTCGGTCAGATAAAAGCAATTTAAACATGTCAATGGGCCCTGAGGAATTGTGACATGTTATAGGCATTTAATATATTTTCTATATTTTTATTATTTCATTATAGAACACAAAAGTTGATCGAAAAATCAAGAAAATCTGATGATTCAACAATGTAAATAATTATTAGTAGCAGCACTGTATCTTTTATCTATCTAGTTTTGATAGACCTATTATTAATGTTGTTAATAAGCTTTTCCAACTAAAACAAGTGAAAAACTGCCCTAAAAAGGAGCAAACTGTCAGACATCACACTGCTTCATAAATACATTAGTCTGATTTAAAATAACTTATACAGCCATGGTCCCACCACACGTTTTCATTTATTTTGCCTATACAAACATCTTCTAAGTGTGTACAAGTCTATGCTTGCTTGATTGATATCTCCTCTACCTTTCTGTTGCACCCATACCAGCCTACTGCAAACGCTTGTGCAGGAGGATTTAACATGTACTAACAAGCTGGGAGACAACGTTGATTATTAATGTTCGTACTTGTTATGGTAATTGTTACGGGAATCTCCACCACCCAGAGCGTGTTAGGGTTATGACGTCTCTCTTTCACTCTCATGAGATATAAAATGTTATTTAACTATGTGTTCTATACCAGTGTCCTTGAGTGGGTTGTAGGCCCCCAGCAAAAGGAATTAGACTTTCCATACACTATTGTAATATATATATATATATTTGATTGGCTTTAATGGATAGTAACAGCTGAAGAGTGACAGGAAAGGGGGGTGGGGGGTGTCACATGCAGCAACAGGCCTGAATGACTGTAATTTATAGGGATCCCAGTATGATCACTGACTGACCAGGAAGACTTTATCTTCCAATCTAAAAATAAAACAATCCTCAGATGGGATTCCTCAAGAGAGTGGTTCCCAACCTTTATACTTTATCATTTAGTAAACTGAAGACTCCTGCTTAAGTGACACATTTCATCCATATTTTATACTGTATTTAAAAGTGTACAATGAACTCAGTAACTGCAGGA